ATAACCACTACACTACGGAAACTGACATCAACCTCCTCTTCTGTAAGCTGCATAGGACTTATACTCACCGCCCAGCTGTCTCCTGGCCCTAGTTGTTGGCAGTGGGTTTTTGGAACCAAGCCATTCCGAAATTTAGCGCCCAAGCCATCTCGAAATTTAGGGTCAATATTTGTCAGTCGCGTCCAGCAATTTAAAAAAACAAAGGAACAAATGAAACCAGCGGGCCTCGCAGGAGGGAAGGTAAACGCGGCGTCAGAGGCTTCAAACTCCTCTGTTGTTCTCTCTTCCAGGAAGATCGCCCCAGGGTTTACATTGTCACATAATTTGTCCTCCATTGGCAGTAACTATCTCAAGGATTTTAAAAATAAAATGTAAATGTATTCAAAGTACTGTATACAAGATGTGAATATATTTTCGTCAAAATGTAATTAAAGTAAAGTATTTGGGCAAAACGAAATGTCGAAGTTTAAATTGTTTGAACATCAGTTTGTTCAGATTCGTAAATTCCAAGATAAGGTCATAGTAACAGTAACTCCCCAGAGATTCGTGTGCTCTGACTATACTAGCAACTCTGTCTAGTTTACAAACTCTAATTAATCTTTGCCCAGACCACCTTCCTAGGGCATCATATTAAACCTCCCCCCACCCCAACCCGGCCCACAAACCTGATAAGTGATCCTCTCCATTGCCCCCCTTGGGCACATTTCTGAGACTGTTAAGGTGATGCTCTTCTCCCTTGCTCAGCAAATTCAACAAATCAGCTTTATTTATTTATGACCAACAGAATTCTCTTGTGGTCTGGTGTGTATGTGGTGGCGACTTTTACAGCTGGAAAACAGAAAACAGGCGGAATTTGCAGAACAAAGGAAACAGCATAAACGAACAAATGTCTATTGAAGTTAAGGAAGAATTTCGTGACTAGGTCGGTAAACTGAGAATGTTCACGCCTGGGTGTTTCAAAATAAAGAAAAATTTCACAACTGCGGGAGGAACGTGGAGGTTCAATGTATGTAGCAACATTTCACAGAAGATTAACTCTTAAAATAGAGAGCGTAAAGAGAATATGCTACAGATGAGGATCTCAGAGCATGTTTTCCCTGATTGAAAATTGAAATTCGGCGAAGGCCGTGAAAGCGCCGAGTCCTAATCTCTAAATCATCTAGTAATGTGGTCTCGACTCCTACTGCTAGGGCTTTGATATTCAAGAATATCTCCTAGGGCCGCCCTAGGGTCCGGCCCCCATTTCCCCAGTCTTGGGAAGTCACACCCCCTGGCCGCGGATCCACGACCCTTCTTTTCCTTCGGAGCTATTCCCCAATACCCGGGAGGATCTAGTAAACAGAAGTCGCCTTACACTTGTTGAACGTGGATGGAAGAATGGATACATAGACGGCAGCAGGCGGAGCCGTGACCCGAGGTGTAGGGCCCCAAGAGTTTGTCGGCTGGTACCCACCAGTTACTCATTCCCAACGGTCAGCGAAAGCCCTATGGCTGTGGGTTTTCCAACTCGAAATCTTCTAGTCAGTACCTGGGCAACCTCTTGTCTGGCCAAGCTTCCGCTTCCACCGCCAGTCCGCGATGCCAACGCCCACTCAGTCTCCCTCCGACTCTTTGGCACAAAAATTCCTTAACTATCTTCGTTTTCCAAAAGAGCGTACACGCCCAATGTAGGGCTCGAACCTACGATTTCGAGAGTTGCACGCCCTACCATCTCAGGTAGCCAGGTCGCAGCCCTATTTTTTCGGCCTCGGGAGATCAGGATACACACGCAGGCTTGCGGACTCGCTTCAAAGTGTTTTGCAGAATTAATTGCACAAGAATTTATGGAGCGCTTACCGTGCGTGCCTGGCTCTGTCCTAGGCACGAGGGTCCGGGGATCCGAAGCCTACAGCCCTTACCCGGAAGAGGTGGCGGCGCAGACTTCCGGAGGCAAGAGTAGGGGATTCGCTAAAGAGTGGGAACTGAATTCCCATTGAGAACATTTATGAATAGCCTGCTGTGAGCCTAGCTCTGCTATGGTACCGCTTTGCTGTTTCCCTGAAACACAGACTAGATACACACACCGATCTGTGCATGCCTCTATGTGACAGCGCCCTCCTCTTCTCGAGCCGCAGAAGAGGTTGAACAGGTGGCCGTCGAAATGAAAAACATACCATACAGATGTTTCCGCCCGGTTTCGAACCGGGGACCTTTCGCGTGTGAGGCGAACGTGATAACCACTACACTACGGAAACCGCTTTGGTAACGTTTTCTGAGTACAAGCCTCAAGCTGAGCAAACTAAATATGGCAGAGAATGGCAGCTGTAAGCCCGGCTGGAATTCGCAGAAACGCGCTGCACTGGTTGGCTGAGAAGTGTTCAGGTCCTGTGGCTTGATTTCTCTCGGCGCAGAAGCCAGTGCGTCCTGGGCCTGCGCCCGCTCAGCCCCACCTCTGCGCGCGCTCTGCGAACCTCCGGGTTCCTGGCTTTGGCGCGTTGGGTCAGCCCCTCAGAGTCGCCGGACCACTCCCTTCGGAAGCTCCCGTTCTTCTGGAGTTCCGTATGAGGCGAGAAGTGTCTCGATAGCAGGGCAAGCTCTGGATGACCAGCGTCTGGCACTCACTGGGAATTCTGCACATACATTACCCATCGCCATCCAGTACATTCCCACTTATAGCGACCCCATAGGACAGAGTAGAACTGCCCTATAGGGTTTCCAAGGCTGTAAGCTTTTCGGGAAGCAGTCCTGGTGGCGCAGTGGTTAAGCGCTCGACTGCTAACCAGAGATTCAAACCAACCAGCAGCTTAGTGGGAAAAAGATGTGGCAGTGCGCTTCTGTAAAGATTACAGCTTTGGAAACCCTATAGGGCAGTTCTACTCTGTCCTATAGGGTGGACGCCAATATACATATACATATATTTTTTAAAATCTTTATCGAAGGGAATTGCCACATCTTTCTGTGGCAGAGCCGAACTTTCGGTTAGCAGCTGAGCACTTAACCACTGCACCACCAGGGCTCCTTGAACATACATTATGGTCAGTAACTTGGCTCGAAGTTTTGTTGTTGCTGTAATTAAACGAGACGTTTGAACAAAGCATCTAGAACTATTGCTATCGAACAATGAATCCATTTGGCAGAGATGCTCTGGGTACCGCAGCGGCATCTTTACGTTACACTACAGTTCCACAGCCTGGACAGAACTGCCTCAAGTAAAATCAGTTTCACAAACCCAGTCCGAGGTCCTGTTCCTAGACTGGGGCACCATGAGACAAACCTTGAGGCATTCCATCAGCAGAGCATGTGTGGTGCACAGTTCAGAAAGTATTCGTTGAATTAATCGACGGCATTTAGAAAGTTTTATTTTTTTAAGGTAATACATTCGCTTGGTTCAAAACTCAAAGGATACAGAAAGATATAGAGAAAAGTGTCTTTCCTACTCCTGACCCTCAGCCACTCCGTTGCCTTCCCAGAGGAACACTGCTGCTAGTATCTTTCCAGAGATGTCAATGAAAATGATGAGTAATGGGTAGCTTATGTATCTCGCTTACTATGTGTTTAGCACTGTTCTTGTCAGTTTACATGATATTTGCTCTAATTCTCACAAACCCCTGAGATAGGTACTATGATCCTCATTTTGTATGAGTAAACTGAGGCACAGGAATGTGGAAATATCAAACACATCTTTGTAACATCTTCCTCCCTCTTTTTTACAGACGGCGACATACTCTACACACTGTGCAGTAAGTCCCCGGGTTATCAATGTCAGACTTACAGACAACTCCTACTTGCCCTTTAACGTTACCTAAATTTGTCCTCACTTTTAAATGATTGAACCAACCACCACTCACAACAAATTCTTCATGACTATCACCTTCACCTGCTACACATGCAGCTTTTAAATCACTGAAAAGACGTCGGGCCTTTTCTTGCACTGAAGTAAGGCTAAATAAAAAACGTATGCATCTGTTCCAACTTACCTACAAATGACTTAAAAGACACACTTAGGAACAGATCTTGTTCGTAACCCGGGTACTGCCTGTACCTCGCTTTTTTCACTTAATAAATCTCGAAGATGGATTCACATTTTACAGATACTGTTCCATTGTGTGGATGTACCAAAAAAAAAACCCCTTTGTTGTAAAGTCAATTACGATTCAGAGTGACCCTATAGTGCAGAGTAAAACTGCCCCACAGGATTTCCAAGGAGCAGCTAGTGAATTTGAACTGCTGACCTTTTGTTCAGCAGCCAAGCTCTTAACCACTGCGCCTCCGGGGCTCCTTGTGTGAATGAAGATTTGTCACCACTCCTTTACCGATGGGAGTTAGGAAGTTCACCTACAGGAGGCTACAGTGACCAGGCAACAACCTCTAAAACGGGCATGGAAGATGCTGACAAAATCGTTTTGATTCTCCAAGAATCCAGATTTCTGGGTTCACGGAACTGGGGTGACCCACCCAGGCCATCTGTCCTTAGGTATTCTTTTAAACTTTGAAAGAACTGGTTTCCTGGAGTCATCTTCAGGTCAAACAATAGCTTAGTAAGCTGCTTAGCAGAATTGGCCTTAGGCATTGTGCAGCCAACTTCGAAAAGCATAAACTCCGGGTTTGGCTAAAGATCGTTTTAGGATATGTGGCATGTCCTTGGTGATTGTTTCTGTAACCTGCCCTGTGCTTTGATGTTATCTCTTGATAAATTAACGTAACAATGACCTTTATAACCCGCTTTCACAGTCCCCTCTTTGGAGAGCGTTCCCAACATGTTCGGGTGATCTCTGTCTGAGTGGAATAGTATCTACTCACAATAAATATATTCTGTTACACTAATTTTTGATGTTTCTCTAAACAACTTAGGTTTTTGACAATGCCAACTATGGAGGTAGGGTGTCTCCGACCCCGACCCCACTGAATTTCTTCAGGCTCCGCCCCCTGATCTATCAACGAGGGAACTTGAGTCCTCCTTAAACAACAAAGTCCTCTGCCTAGAAGGGCCGAGGCGCAGCAGAGAGCACGAGGAAGCCCCGCCCCTCCACTTCCGGCACCGGCTGCGGTGAGCCCCGACTGTCATTCGTGCCCGGTCGATAGGGGGGTGCGCGGCCGATGCGGTCATGGCACCGAGAGCGGATGGCTACCAAGTACTCCCACCGTTCTCCTAAGTTTCTCTCCAGTGGCGTGGGAGGGGAAGGGCGGGCCTTCTGCTTCGTCTGCGTTCCCCACTCCCCCGCACCACAGAGACGTAGGCCTCCTACGTCCTAGCCTTCCCGCCCTGTTCCCAAGTGCCTGCTAGAGCGTCTTCTCGCCGTTTCCTGTCGCAGGGGCCGGGAAAGGAAGAAGGGGGACGTAGCACTACAGCTGAGGGAACTCACGAGCCTGGGTGGCGCGCAGACGCCGGAAGTGTTGGGTGGAAGAGCGGAAGTGAGGGGGCGGGGCCAGGAAGTAAGGAGGGGCGGGGGTTTATGAGGAGGCCAAGGAAGCGTTGGGGTAGATTTGCACTCAGGGCCACCTGAGGGACTTGGCGATAGCGTTCAGCTTTTTCCCTTGCCCGCGCAGAGACGCGGTTGTCGTCTGGGAGTAGGGAACTCTGTGTGGAGGGGTGGGTTGTCGGAAGAACATTTCTCTGGCTGCGCTTGAGGCGAGCTGTGGAGAGGCAGGGGTGGGGGTGGGGCCGGGTAGCCCGGGCGTCTGAGAGGGAAGACCCCCCCGCCCCCCTCCCAGCCCCCACCGTACATCTAAACTGGCTGACTGGACGCTAAGATGGCTGCCGTTGCCATGACACCCAATCCTGTGCAGACCCTTCAGGAGGAGGCGGTGTGCGCCATCTGCCTCGATTACTTCACGGACCCTGTGTCCATCGGCTGCGGGCACAACTTCTGCCGAGTGTGTGTAACCCAGTTGTGGGGCGGGGAGGATGAGGAGGACAGGGACGAGTTAGACCGGGAGGAGGAGGAGGAGGAGGAGGAGGACGGAGACGAGGAAGAAGTGGAGGCTGTGGGGGCCGGCGGGGGGTGGGACACCCCCATGCGGGACGAAGACTATGAGGGCGACATGGAGGAGGAGGTCGAGGAGGAAGAGGAGGGAGTTTTCTGGACCAATGGCATGGGCGGGTCTAATTGGGACAACATGGACTACGTGTGGGAGGAGGAGGACGAGGAGGAAGACCTGGACTACTACTTGGGGGACATGGAGGAGGACCTGAGGGGGGAGGATGAGGAGGACGAGGAGGAGGTGCTGGAGGAGGATGAGGAAGAGGAGCTAGATCCCGTCGCCCCACTGCCTCCGCCTCCTGCTCCTCGGAGGTGCTTCACCTGCCCCCAGTGCCGAAAGAGCTTTCCCCGGCGAAGCTTCCGTCCCAACCTGCAGCTGGCCAACATGGTCCAAGTGATTCGGCAGATGCACCCAACCCCTGGTCGAGCGAGCCGTGGGAACGAGCAGGGCATCTGCCCCAAACACCAAGAAGCACTGAAACTCTTCTGTGAAGTGGACGAAGAGGCCATCTGTGTAGTGTGCCGAGAATCCAGGAGCCACAAACAGCACAGCGTGGTGCCATTGGAGGAGGTGGTGCAGGAGTACAAGGTAAGAGAAGTAAAGAGACAAGATGGGAATTTACTGGGGGTGGATAGGAAGTAAGGGAAGCTGAGAAATAGAAGCATCTTTTCCCCAAAAAACCTCATGTACTGGTGAGCTGATTCTCCTTATCTAAGCATTTACTGGCACCCAGGTGGGGTAGAGTGAGAAGGATCCTGTACACAGACAAAGGAAATACAGCAAAGAAGACCAGGGAAGACTGGCTTACTTAAAGGGATATAAGGCAAAGCTGGTAATGCCAGATTACTGGGCTGCATCTCCCGGGGAGCAGACCACTGCTGTTTCACCCTTCCACTGTCCCTAGGTGTAGGAGTGCAGGTGACAGGTCCCTAGTGCTTTAATACTGGTCTCCACTTTCTCTGGGTAAATCTTGAGTCTGTCTTTGACTGAGACCACCCAAGAGATGGGAAGAACTTGGGCTCTGAAGCATGGGCATAGTAATGACTAATGTCAGACCCAAATGCCCCACACTTGCCTCCTGACTGGAGTTCCCCACCCCATGATTTGGCTTGGTTCTCCCCTTGAGAACTTTTGTTGGATCTGGTCAGTCTCATATACTGACCAGAACTTCGTATCTTTCTTAACATTCAGAAAAAAAGAGAGAGGCTTTTTAAGTCAGATGACCTGGCTCTGCCACTTTTTCCGCTGTCAAATCTTGGGCAAGTCTCTGAATCTTTTGAACTTTAATTTCTCCATGATTGTTGTTGTTAGGTGCCATCGAGTCAGGATTAATAATTAATATTTATTGAACACTTAATCTGTATACCAGGCACTGTACTAAACACTTTTCCTGGGCTATCTCATTTAAAACTTGAAAGACTCTGTGATTTTGATATGTTTTCATTACCATTTTACAGATTGGGAAATAAAAAGGTGTAAGTAGTATATACAGGCCCACACAGCTACTGATAAATGGACTTAGCTGACTCCCCTGCCCCCATCCATTAACAACTCCCACCACCATTTGGATGTCTGTTGTTAGTTTGACATTTCTGACATGTGACCCTACTCTTTGGAGACTGATACTGGTTTCGGTGATATCTTGCTCCCTACTTCTGATTGTGACTTTTGGGACACAGATGAAGGAGATTTGTCTGTCTGACAACCAGCGTAAGTAACACTACTTAGCCAAGGCCTGAATGGGTTGAAAGCAGTAGGACCAGGAGGAGGAGAGGGTGGCTTCTTCTGTGTGGTCTGTGCAGTGCCTTTTTGCTTTATGACTTTGTTTTCATTTCTTCTCCTGATTCCTGCATTCACCTCAAGTTAGGTATTGTTACTTCAATTTTAGAGTAACATGTCTAGGGCGTCTCAGCTCTGAGTATGTACAGTTAAGACCTATATCCCCTAATCACAAGTAACTATTCCTTTCATGCAATGATTGTTATACCTGGCTGACTGTCATAATTACTAGGGGAAGTTTTCAAAAGTACAGTGGGTAGAGATTCTGAATTGGTGTGGGGAGAATTTCTTAGGAGAGCTCAGCCCAGTTTGGAAATCACTGCATTGGTTAGCATCACCTGCCTTTTAGCCCTATATCCTTAGAGGCGGTTATGAGCTCCTTTTGTCCTTTTGTATCCCCTCAGTTCCTAGTTAACTGTACCCATCATGCAGTGTGCAATCACTCTGTTAACTGGAACCAGGGATAGACTATCCATGGGCATTCTACCTCCTTTCCTCCACCCTCCTGCAGGACTTCTCTAAAGACTTTCTAAAACTGGATTTTATTCGTATTGGTCACATCTATTGAATGCCAGCTGCCTGAAAATCCTGTACTAGGCCCTGAAGGGAGTCCCTGGGTAGCATAAATAGTTAAGCACTCTACTACACTAGTCTAAAGGTTGGTGTTTCGAACCCACCCAGTGGCACTTCGGTAGACAGGCCTGGCTATCTGCTTCTAAAACGTCACAGCCTTGTAAATCCTATGGAGCACAGTTCTACTCTGTCCATATGGAGTCACCATGATTTGGAATTGACTTGACGAATAAGTTTTATTATATCCTACTTTGAGTGATTCTGTTTCTGATTTACAGAGTCTGTTACAGAAGAGTAGTCTATCCTTTTTAGATACATACAATGACTAGCTTGACACTGTTGTTTTCTCGAAAAATTTTTTGATTGAATAGATAATCACACACAAATGATTTTTAAATAAAGCTGTAAAAAGTTAAAGGTCCTTGAAAATTTCTTTTAAATAGTAATGTGGTTGGATTTTTTATTATGAATTTTCGTCAGCAATTTAAGAAGAGTGTTAAATCGTGAAGCTAAGCATTATAAATTCTGAATTAATGGAGTGGAAATCAATGAGAGTTGTAGAAACATAGAAAGTAATATCAAAAGGCAAAATTTTGCATAGTTTATGTTATTTTTGTGTTATGGATTGACTACAATCTTATTGCTGTAATGTTTTCTACAATCACTTATCCTGTGCAAAACTGCTTTTAGTACTTGGGGTCAGTAACCTCTTTAGTTCAGGGGTCATTATCATGGTGTCAATGGTAGGCTTAAGGCCTAGGTAGTGAATATTAGATAACATTTACTGATCTTTGGCTATACCCCAGATACTGTGTTAAGCGTATGCTCCATAAGGTAGATACTATTATTCTTATTTTAAGATGAGGAAGCTGAAGCGTGGTTTGCCTTAGATCATCTGCTTGTGTTCAGGTCCAGATCTGACTGAGTCTAGGCTTAAGCTGTTAATTTTTACCTTGTATTAGTCCTCAAAGAAAAGGAGAGAGAAAGGCAGAAGAAGTAGAAGACATAAAGAAGGAAAAAGCAAATAAGTAAGGCTTATTTCACCCATTCTGGTTTCCGTAACAGCCCTTTAAAGAAAAAGACTTTGCTACAAATTGTTGGAAAACAGAACTCACTTGGATATTTGCTGTGAAAGTTAAATCTTTAGGAGGAGAGGTTTTTGTTTTTCATTTACCAACTGCTAGTTGAGTGGGAGAGAGAACAGACAGGCAGAGAGAGGTATGGAAATTAAAGTGGGTCCCTGCTCCCAGAAGCCCACGCTGTCATGTGGGAGGCACACTTGTAAATGATTATGGTATTGTAAAGATTTTACTCAGAGTTCCTTGGAGTCAAAGGTGGGGAGGATCAGGGTCAAGGTCAGGGAGCTGGGTCTTAAAGGAAAAATGCCTTGAATCAAGTAGAGAAGGGCAGTCCCAGGCAGAGGGAACAATGTGGTTAAAGGTGTGGAATTATACTTAGGAAAAGAGAAGTAGTTTAATGTGGCTAAAACTAAGATTCTGTGTAGAAGGGGTAGGTGTAAGAGGTGAGGTTAGAAATATAGGGGCACTGAGCCTCATATTCTGCAAGCGGTGGAGAACAACTGAAGGATTTTTAGCACGAGGCACAAAATCATCAGAAGAATATTTAGAGGTAACTGCTGGGCAGGCTGTGAGGAGGATTGCCTGTGAGGGGGAAGGGACCAAAGGCAGGAATGTTCATATGGAAGGACTGCGGTGTAGGGTGGAAAGCCAGATCCACCGCACCTCTGAGTGTGGAGCTGTGTAGTCATCAGGATCCCACCTTTAAAGAACACACATGGGGCTTCTGTGCATAAGTGTGGGGGTGGGTCAGAGGTCTTTGTTGTGACCTGAGAGAAGAAAGAGGAAGGGAGTAAGATGCTCATATTTTACACCTATGGCGTGAACCAGGCTTTGAGTCCCAACCCATTGCAGGGAGGATGGGAGAGGTGGGCTCTGAAGGGGCAGATGCCTCTCCCAGCCCAGGCCTCTAACCTTCCTTTTCCCGTTCCCTCAGGCCAAACTGCAGGGCCACTTGGAACCTCTGAGGAAGCACCTGGAGGCTGTGCAGAAGATGAAGGCCAAGGAGGAGAGGCGGGTGACTGAGCTGAAGGTGGGTGAATGTCTTTGGCGGGGGCTGACTGGTTCTGTGGTGGGGGCAAGGAAGTTGGAGCTGCTCTTACAGTGGTGACTAGATCCTCTGAAGAGGGGGTAGCCAAGGCCTAGAAGTCTTCTCAGGACTTTCCAGGGTCCTAAGAAGAAGAGGGCTTGAGAAGGCCAGGAGGCATGTTCCTAGATTCCAAAGTGGAATGAGGCGAAAACTGAGACCTGGCTTGGAGAGGTTGAGTGGCTGGCCCGATGCTGCAGAGCAGGATTTCTGCCTTGGACACCCAATCCCAGAGTCTGTGCTTCACACTGCCGTGCCAGCCACACTGCCCCTCACATCAAGGGTAGCACAGAGGGCAGGAAGGGGGCAAGGAAAACCTCACAGAGCAACCTTCAGAGAACCCCCAGGTCAGGGTGCTGGCAGTGGGCATACTGCCCTGAGCATGAGAGGGACATGGTCTGGGGAAGCTTGCTGTGCCCACCAGAAGGAGTCGGTGTTCAGGGGAGAGGAGGAATTAGTGAATGTTAGCATTGCAGAGACCTTAATATCTTCCAGACCAACTAAACCAAAGCTAAGAAGTTTCCTGAATACAACCAAACACTTCGAGGGACCAGAGTAGCAGGAGCGGGGGTCTGGGGACCATGGTTTCAGGGGACATCTAGGTCAATCGGCATAACAAAGCTTATTAAGAAAATGTTCTGCATCCCACTTTCCTGAGTGGCGTCTTGGGTCTTAAAAGCTAGCAAGCAGCCATCTAAGATGCATCAATTGGTTCCAGCCCACCTGGAGTAAAGGAGAATGAAGAACACCATGGACACAAGGAAAGTATTAGCCCCGGAGATAGAAAGGGCCACGTAAACCAGAGACTTCATCAGCCTGAGACCAGAAGAACTAGATGGTGCCCGGCTACCACCAGTGACCACCCTGACAGGGAACATGGCAGAGTCCCTGACGGAGCAGGAGAAAAGTGGGGTGCAGAGCTCAAATTCTAGTAAAAAGACCAGACTTAATGGTTTGATTGAGACTGGAGGGACCCTGAAAGACATGACCCCCAGACTCTCTGTTAGCCCAAAACTAAAACCATTCCCGAGGCCAACTCTTCAGACAAAGATTAGACTGGACTATGGGACATAAAATGATACTCGTGAAGAGTATACGTCTTAGCTTAAGTAGATACATGAGACTGAATGGGCAGCTCTGTCCAGAGGCGAGATGAGAAGGCAGAGAGGGTCAGGAGCTGGTTGAATGGACACAGGAAATCCGGAGTGGAAAGGAGGAGTGTGCTGTCACAGTAGAGGGAAAGCAATTAGGGTCACATAAAAATGCATGTATAAATTTTTGTATGAGAGACTAAAAAAAACAAAAACTTCCAGACCAGTGTTTTTAGACTCTTTTTTTTCATAATTGCCCTCTCTGCTGCCTGTTTTTATAAGGTGGGTAGGCACTGCTGGAGTGGGCTAGCACTGTGAGTTTCTCAGACCATGCCAAGACATCCCCCTCTGCCCCCTCCCACCTTGTTCCCAGTGTCTGCCTCCCTGGTCAGTGACTGGGCTTTGCCACTTCCCAGGGCCCATGATGGTTGGACCCTACACATTAGGGATTCTGCTGCTGGCCATTGCTGGGCCCTGAGTCAAGGAGTCTTAGTCTAGCCCAAGTTGAGACCTTTGGGTTCTCCAGGAGGAGAGAAGGGTGCAGAGAAAGGTACGCTGGGATCTGTCACTCAGGCAGGGAGTGAAACTGACTGTGGTGGCTGTGCGTGTGTCCGTCTGCCGAGCCAGGACCTGCCTTCCCATTCTGAACTCTTTATCTCAAGAATATTTCCAGCTAATAAGTAGCTGGGTGAAAAGGGTGACCACCAGTTGGGATGGCTCACTCCAGGCAAATGGGGTGGGCTGGGTAGGAGTTTTCTCTCTTGTTATATAAATACCTATATAATATTCTAGATTTTGCCTCTTGGCCCACAAAGCCTAAAATATTTACTTACTGGACTTTCACAGAAGAAGTTTGCTGACCTCTGATCTGGAGGGATTGGGTGACTTTTTCAAGGTCACTGCAAGTAGTGGTATAGTCAGGACCCTAACTTCAGTGCCATGATTCCTGAATTCTTTTATTTATTCATTTCAAAAACTTCTTACCAACTGCCTACTTTGTGGTAGGCACTGTGCCAGGGTCTGAGGACACTGTGGCAAAGAAAGACATACCCAGTTACTGCCGGCGGAGAGCTTATGGTGCAGTGGGAGAGAAGGTGGTTAAAAGATACTCTTTCAGAAACAGGAAATTTCAGATTGAGATATATACCACAAAAGGATACAGTGATATTTTGTGGAGTTGTCCTGATTTAGATCTGGACAGAAGGCTTTTCTCAGGGAATATTTAAAGCTTAGACTTGAAGGATGAATCAAAGTTAGGCAGACATGGTAGAGATTCCAGGCAGAAGTTGGTGAGTTTGAGGCCAGTGTGCAGGGAGTATAGGAGTGGGCCTGGGAAGGCCAAGAAGTAAGGAGGGTGCCAGGGGCCTCTTTTCATTCCAAGGTGTTTCTTGGCCTGGGGCATGCAAGGGTCCCTTTGCCTTGGGTTGAGGGTAGCAGTTGCAAAACTGAAGATTTATCTGTGTGTTGAAGTGATATCCACCATCCCCTTTCCATCATTCTAGAGCCAGATGAAGTCAGAGCTGGCAGCAGTGGCCTCAGAGTTTGGGCGGCTGACACGGTTCCTGGCCGAAGAGCAGGCAGGGCTGGAGCGGCACCTCCGAGAGATGCATGAAGCCCAGCTGGGGAGAGCAGGAGCAGCGGCCATCCGCCTCTCAGACCAGGCTGCCCAGCTGAGCCGCCTGTTGGCAGAGGCCCAGGAGCGCAGCCAGCAGGGGGGCCTGCGGCTGCTCCAGGTAAGCATTTTCCCTTTCTCCCTGCTCCATAATCTCTGTTTTTGCCCTGGTCCCGCTCCCAGCTCCCTGTGCCTGTTTTGGTTGCTCCGTCGGGCAGTGCTTACCAGAGTTACCAGTGTTCGTCCAGAGTTGCCTTTCCTCCTTGGGAGGAGCTACAATGGTTTAACCTGAACACCAAAACAGTTTTTTGGGGCTGGAGTTAAATGTTGAATGTTGGGGGGTGTGTGTGTGTGTCTAGTATACACATGAAGAGAAAGAAGATTCATTGTAGGAGGGGTTTAAATGAGAGTTGGGGAAATAATTTTTGATTGTGACACCCTGAAAAAGGTGACCTAGTCATGTTGTGAAAATTCTAGTACTGAGTTGCTTAGAATCACAGAGCTCACTGCAGGATGAAACGGGTTAGGTGTGAGAGGCATAGGACAATTGAGATGGATTCAGTTACTGAGGTCCTTAAGGGTGCTGCTTTCCCCTCCCTGTTCAGTTCAGTCCTTTCTCTGGCTAGAGACTGGGAGAAAGAAGGAGCCATCCCTGTGCAGCTGACTCTCTCTTTGTCTTTCTCCCTCTCCCTCTTTTTGTTTGTTATTCCCAGGACATCAAGGAGACTTTCAATAGGTGTGTTCCCACCCTTTACCCTTTGTGACCCAGTAGCATCTGATTCCCCATCCCTGCCTCTGTTGGGTATCCCTCTCCTCTCCTTCCTTTCCCAGGACCTGCGTTTCTGCCTCTTGGACCCTCCTCTCCTTCCCCTCAGCTTCTGCTCTTTCCTCTGAGAATATCGTGGTCCCACCCCCTGCCCGGTCCCCTTCCTCCAGGTGTGAAGAAGTACAGCTGCAGCCCCCAGAGGCCTGGTCCCCTGACCCGTGCCAACCCCATAGCCATGACTTCCTGACAGATGCCATCGTGAGGAAAATGAGCCGGATGTTCTGTCAGGCTGCCCGAGGTAGGGAGGTCACCTGTACGACCTTCCTTTGCCTTTCCTTTCACAGACCTGAGGTTGAATCTGAGGGAAAGTTGGGGCCCAGGGAAAGCATGGGGTGCTGTGTGGTAGGCAACTCTGGGGCTTCAGTGCCAAGAGTAGCCTCTGTCCTGGCCCAGGTAGACTTTAGGGGTGTGGAGTGGAAGGAAGAGCAGGGGCCAGATGGAAGAGCTGTCAGGTGTCCTGGGAACAAGATGGGAAGAGTGTTGGAACCAACAGGAACCTGAATCTCTAGAGGGTGGGGAGCTGAGGAGAGCTGAATTGGAGGCTGAGGGGGCGGGCAGCAGGAAAGGGAGAACCCATGGAGTTGGCTGATGATGAGGAACAGCTGTGCCAGCCCTGGCGTATTTGTCCTCCCCTCTTCCAAGTGGACCTGACGCTGGACCCTGACACTGCTCACCCAGCCTTGATGCTGTCCCCTGACCGCCGTGGGGTCCGCCTGGCAGAGCGGCGGCAGGAGGTTGCTGACCACCCCAAGCGCTTCTCGGCTGACTGCTGTGTACTGGGGGCTCAGGGCTTCCGCTCTGGCCGGCACTACTGGGAGGTAGAGGTGGGCGGGCGGCGGGGTTGGGCGGTGGGCGCTGCCCGTGAATCAACCCACCACAAGGAGAAGGTGGGCTCTGGGGGGCCCTCTGTGGGCAGCGGGGATGCCAGCTCCTCACGCCATCACCATCGCCGCCGCCGACTCCACCTACCCCAGCAGCCTCTGCTCCAGCGGGAAGTGTGGTGTGTGGGCACCAATGGCAAACGCTACCAGGCGCAGAGCTCAACAGAGCAGACACTGCTGAGCCCAAGTGAGAAACCGCGGCGCTTTGGCGTGTACCTGGACTATGAGGCCGGGCGCCTGGGCTTCTATAATGCGGAGACTCTGGCCCACGTGCACACCTTCTCAGCTGCCTTCCTGGGCGAGCGTGTCTTCCCCTTCTTCCGGGTGCTCTCCAAGGGTACTCGCATCAAGCTCTGCCCTTGATTGGCCTGCCACCCGCAGGGGCCCCTCTGGTCCACACTGGGGGGGCGGGTGGTGGTGGAGGGTGGCCCACAAGTTCAGGGGCTCAAAAGCTCCTTTCCAATGTTTGTTACTGCGTTGCTTCCCGCTCCCCCTTGATCCCAGGCCCCTGCTTCTCCCTCTAGGAGCCTAAAGAACCTTCCTGGCCTCCAGCTCGGCCTTCTCTCACCTACTATGTCTGTCCAACAGGTCTGCATGGGTCCCTGATAATGAGAACAGCTGCCTGGCCTTCCTCCCTTCTGTCCGCCCAGCCCAGCCCAGCCCAGCCCTTGGGGTCAGAGTTTGAGTGGGGAGTAGGGGAAGGAGGATTTCATTCCTTAACTTCCTTTTCCCCACTCATGTCACTTCTGAAGCTGGAGGGTTTGGGCAAGACTCGTAACATCCCCATATCCCAATTCCATTTTCTGATGCAAGCTTTTAGCAAAGGGATTTGGAAGCTGTTTTGGGGAGGCAGGCTGGGGAAAAGGGTAGAGCTGGGTAATAAATGTCTACTCTCCTGGGGAATTGGGAGGGATTCTAAACTTTCCTTCCTTCCCCTATTTCTACCTCCATAGACCGGCCAGAATTTAACTTCAATGAGAGATCTGGAGTGGTCGACATGATTGAACCTACATACCATTACACCATCCAATAAATTATTTGCTCCCCCTTCATTTTTTCCAGCACTCAAATCTAGGAGCAAAGCTTACCCTACTCCCACCCCTCCAGGTCTTTCACTGCCAGGCTCCTTTCCCCTTTGTTCAGTGGAGTTGCTTAATATCTCAGTTTCCAGCCTCTCTCCATGCCTTCAGTTCTATTCGGCAAGCCGATGGGGCGCTTGGGGACAGGGGTTTGGATCCCCATGAGGGGAGCCTTGGGTATAATCTATTTTTCTAGTAACCCCTTGCCTTCTGTCACTTATCAGCTTTTGCCCTCTGCTTTGATGCTGAGGTCGATTCATGTTCTAGGGGAAAGGGAGAGGTGGGTTGTGTTGTGGAAATGAGTAAAAATTTATTTGCTTCTTCTGTGGAGTTTATTCCTTTAGATGAGCAGTTACTGATGTAACTTAGAAGTCATTTGATTCCCTCCTTCCCCACACCCTCCAGTAGAAAAAGATGCCACACAATGTAGGGAGCTTCTGCCTGGTTAATTTCTGCCTTCTGGACAGACCTGTCATACTTCTTACCTTGCAAAAGTCCTGTTTGCATAGAGATGTAACTCCTGCCCATTTGAATAGCCTTAGTTTCTTTTTTAAGCATCCACTTGAACATCATTTGCCATTTCCTTCACCATTGCTCTCAAGCCCAGGGCCTAGGAACATTTTTCAGAGCCCTATTTGAGTCCCATGAAGTTGAAGTAAGATTTAATAGGCGGCATTTGTCTTTAAGTCACTGCCTAAGAAAATTGTGCAGAACATAAGGCAACAACTTTAGGGTATGAACTGGGTTTGAACTGTTCCATGCCTGTTAACATTAGTTAAGTTCCAGCATTCCCTATAGTACTTAAAGGTGTGGTCTGAGGACCAGCAGCACAGCTGGAATCTCAGGTCCCACTGGACCTTTCTCAGTGAGATTTTGCACCAGGTGATTTTTGTGTGTAATAAAGCAGCAGTAGTAGAGTTAAATCAGTAAAGCGAGTTTTATGATGTGTATGTAGGGATAGCTGAAGACCACGCTAGATTTCTAATCTCTAAAGAGGAGTGAAGGTGGTAACTGTTCCTTCCGGTTAGTTACTGAAGATGAAAGATAAAAAATCATTTGAATCCCAAGACCCAAGTGACAAGGAGACTGTACTAACCTGAAATTTCAGAATGTTTTCTAGTTTATATTCATAAACTTTTGGAAGAATGGCAGAGAATTTTTCAGTTCTTTTGTGTTAAGTGACTTGGACTTAGACTAAGTCTGCTGTTCTTAAATTGACTGCAGGCCCTTTCCCTCAGGAACTTTCTCCATAGGTTTTAGGCCCTAAGAGGGTCTGTACCTGTAACACGGGCCATCTGATGGGCCGGGTTTGGGAAACCTTATCCTACATAACTTTCCAGGAACATCACATCACATTCCAGCAACACTACCGGAAGCCTACATAGACTGCAATATCAAAGCCTTGTTTGATTTACCTGTTTCATCACGGGCTTTCAGTCTGAGCATGTTAACGGAAGAGATTTTTTTTTTTTTTTTAAACCCCTAAGCAGTATGGATAGCAAGTGGCTATTTTACTTATCAGAGAAAGACACTTCCAAAAAGTCAGAATGCCAGTTTTTATTTTTAAAGCTCTGCCATAAATTTCTACCGAGTACCGATGGTCACCTGCCACACTCGCACCAGGTTATCTGTGTAGCCGGCAAAAAGAGTCTGCAAGAAAGCAGAAATTTTATCTGATTAGATCAGGTAGAAGCCATCTAGTTGGCAAAGATGGCTCTTATTTTTTAAGATTCCTGCTCTTCTAAACCAGACTACAGGTGATGACTATGCATTCCTACAGTAAGAAAGAACTGGTGGTTAAGGACTTACATATATGTAAACTGGTGAAGTTAATCAAGGTATTAACCGAAAAGTAGGTACCCTCCAGATCAATCTTTCCTCATGCAGGAACATGTACTATGCGTTCAACGGTAGACCTAACAAGTTTATAAGCATGGCTAATGTTTTGTTACATTATTTCATGTTAAAGACAGTGGTTTTGTGACTGGTAGATTACACCAAGAGCAGAAATAGTGGAAGCTGAGTCAACCTGGCTAGACCCACTTACCTGGCCATCAGCAGACCAGGCCAGAGAGGTGCACTGGGGCGGCTCGGCCTTGCTACTGGTGCTGATAACTTCTTGCTTCAGTTCATCTACGATGATCTTACCCTCCAAGTCCTGGGAAACGGCAAAACCACGGCAAGGACAGTACTTAATGCCACTGACGTTTCTCTAATGAGACCCAACTAAGGGCTCTCCCAAGATTTTTTTTCACCCGAGAAAGACATCCTCTCTCAAAAGCCCCTTTAATCAAAAACTCAATAGTTCAACAGGGGAGGACTGTGCCTCTCCATCCCCTGCCAGGGACATTAGGCAATTCATAGATGCATCTTTGGTCATCATTAGTTTGATGTTTACTATTGGCCACCTAGTGGGTGGAGTCCAAGGATGTAAGATACTAAATATCCTACGATGTACAGGACAATCCCCCCACAACAAAGAATTTTCCAGCCCAAAATGTCATTTGCTCTGCGGTTGAGTCAGCTGCTATAAATTGCTATTCCTGTAAGTAGCTAGATGTCTACTACCCTTGCAATACCTAATCTCAGGAAGTTTTAACCCACCATTCCTTGCTCTCCAGACACCTTAATGGTTGGCAGTTCAGAAAGCTTGAATCTCAGCAGGGAGTCAGATGGCAGATTAAGAAATCATAACACTGGCAGGGATTCCAGCGTGCAGCCAGGTACTCAGCCTGACCCCCCCAGCCAACACTCACCCAGATCTTGATGCTGGGGCCCGTGGCAGCACAGAGCCAGTAGCGGTTGGGGCTGAAGCACAGGGCATTGATGATGTCCCCGCCATCTAGAGTATAGAGGTGCTTGCCTTCGTTGAGGTCCCACAGCATGGCCTGGCCATCCTGGGCAGACAGGGAAGGTGAATCAGGGCAATGTGACCTCTTCCACATATTAATTCCACCCATCCCAAGGTTTTATCCTAATCAAGTGTTAGCCTTTCCCCCAATTTCCTGTAAGCTTATGACTCAAGGACTAATGTTTACCTCTGTATGATTTTCATTTAATGCAGAATACCCCCAAGCCTAGTAAAAAACTCTTTGACAGCTTATAATTTAGTAATATCAATTCTGGAATTACAAAACCCTAACCTCATCATTTCAACAAATCATCTTTACAGAAAAACAATCCTTTTCAACAGAATGCCTTATCTGTGTTATTTTTAGAAAATGATCTTCAAAAATCCTATTTTTGTATTTATCTTATTATCGTGTTAAGTATTCTTTCTACTATATTGGGGAGACTCCTGGCACCTGAATACCTTGCCTCCCGAAGCACAGAGGGATCCATCTGGAGAGACAGTCACAGTGTTCAGGTAGCCTGTGTGGCCAATGTGGTTGGTTTTCAGCTTGCAGTTAGCCAGGTTCCATACCTAAGTTGAAAGAGGGGTAGGGTCCACACAGGTGAGGAACTTGGCTCTGATCAGCCAAGATGTAGGATTCAGGTCCCCCAACAAAAAAGGGCATGACACCTGTTTAAAAGTACTGCAGGGTAGGGCAGCCCTTTATCATTCTGTCAATAACGAAACAAAAGAAAGGTTAAAGAATTTGTCTTGACCTTTTAAGGACAGTTGGGATTAAAATGGGTAACAAACACTGTGTGCAGTCTTACAAGGGACTCTGGGCTCATTAGCTACTTTAAGAACACTGTAGACCAAAAAATAAAAATGAACAGCTGGTACTGAGAAAAATTAACAGCAAGAGAAAAAAGTCAAGTGAGAATGTGGAGTAAAAAAATTAACTTTACCCCAAGAATCTGGTTTTTGTGCTTGCTTCCTGAGGTAACCTCTAAAACAGAATATCCCTACTGACTGAAGTGTCTTTATTAAGAGGACCCCAGACCCGACATGATGCTAACGAGGTAACTTGCAGAGGGTGGCCACGCCAGAAAGACCCAAGGCTGACTTCAGGGAAGGGAGCACAATTTCAATCATGCCTATATAATGAGGTCCCAAGACTCTGGTCAGGGATGCCCCATGGGCTTCCTGGTTGGTGAAAGACATCAATGCATGTGGGAGGAGAGCATGTCCTTTTTGGGGCCATGGAAGTGACACATTGGGAATGCTATCCAAACTTTGCCCTAACAAAGCTGTAACTCTAAAACTACAGTGCTTTCTGTGAGTCATTATAGTGAATTATCAAATCCAAGGTAGTGGGAAGATCCCAAATTTGAAGTCATCAGGTCAGAAGTGAGGGTGTCATGGGACTCCCAAGCTTGCTCAGCTAGCATGAGGTGTTGGGGCAGACTCGGCATCTAGAGAATCCTGACATTTAACCTGTGAGATCTGACCTAACTCCAGGTGGTTAGGGTGAGAGGAAGGAGTGCTGCATGTGCACCTGGTGTCAGAGAAGAGAACTGCAAAGCTTTCAGAGTTGGAGCCTATGACCATCTAGGTGCAACTCGAGCAGTTTCTGGCTGGTAAAGGCCTCGTGGCCAGGTTCCAAGCTCACCTTGACCAACTTGTCCCAGCCACAGGAGACAATGATGGGGTTGCTGCTGTTGGGTGAGAAGCGGACACAAGACACCCACTCTGAATGGCTCTCATCCTACAGGAGACAGAAAAAAAAGTTAAGGAGAAACATCCTGGCCCATGAAACTCTAGACCACTATTCCTTCCCTCAGCTAGCTATGTGAGGTGGATGCTGGCAGTCTTATATTCTCATCCCGGAACTTTCAGATTTCAGACAATACTTGAAATCACCACACACACGGTGAATGTAAGAGGAAGGGTGGGAATGAACCTCAAACGTGCTTTTTCCCCCATGCCTTCACTTTACCTGGACAGTATACTTGCAGACACCCAGCGTATTCCAAAGCTTGATGGTTTTATCTCGGGAGCCAGAGACAATTTGCCGGTTGTCAGAAGAAAAGGCCACACTCAGCACATCCTTGGAATGGCCTACAAATCGGCGTGTGGTGGTGCCCCTGAGAGGGAGGAATTCGTCACTTTCTAGACACTTTGCAAACCTTCTCCTTCCAGTCACACCACTTTCCTGGCCTTGTTCCTGTCTCCAGGGGATTTTCTTTACTCACATAACCCAATCTATGGCTCTGACCACAGCAAGCTCTTGGCTAAGTATATGCCAGAGAATCCCTTCAGAATTGCAGGACATGTCCTCACTCCCACATGGGGATTGGCTGACAATGTCATCTGTCATCACCAGGATCCTCCATTATACCTGTCACTTTCCTGACCACCATCCAGGACAGACTCCCAAGGCCAAACATGTTCAAACCACTGTGTAGTCCCAACTGCTTCACCTAGCAACACGCCTCAGGAATTGTGGGTAACTCACTCCATTCAAGTAGCCCTAGTGGTGCAGTGGTTAAAATGCTCGGCTGCTAACCGAAAGTTCAGAGGTTTGAACCCACCAGCTGCTCTGCGGGAGTAAGATGTGGCAGTCTGCTTCTGTAAAGATTTAAAGCCTTCGAAACCCTACGGGGCAGTTCTACTCTGTCCTCTACGGTCTCTATGAGCCAGAATCAAGCAAGGAGGAAGGAGAGCAATTTTCCTCATTTCTGCCCAGCTTTTCCCCAAGGCCCCAAAGCTAAGTGTGCAGGTACTTGCGTTGTGAGATCCCAGAGGCGCAGTGTTCCATCCCAGGAGCCGGAGAGGGCAAACTGGCCATCAGAGGAGATAACCACGTCACTAACAAAGTGGGAGTGACCACGCAGAGCACGCTGAGGGATTCCATAGTTGGTCTCATCCCTAGTCAGCTTCCACATGATGATGGTCTTATCTAAGAAGAGGTAAAACAAAAAGGAAACCCACTGAGAAACCCTGGCCTTCTCTATCCTTGAGATACTGCTAGTCTCCACTCTGCAGCCCCCTTGCTGATCTACTGTATAATCCAGTATGTCTCAAGGTCATGGATGGGTTTACAAGACGACAAATTACAGACAAACAAGGCAGGGAGGTAAACTCTAGGTGATGAGAACAGTTACTAGCCAAGGCTAAGTGATTCGCTATTCCAGAATACAGAGAGAAAACTAACTCATTCCAAAAAATGTAAATCAGATGTTCAGAATTCTGCTAGGGGCTGTAAACACCCTTTTCTGAGATTCAGATCAATTCAACAAGCAGAAACGCAGCAGTCTGGGTGTAGGAAGACTAGTTGTGGGCAGCGGGAGTATTTCGGAGGATTTCCAGAAGGGAGTTAATTAGTGTTGAAAAGTTGCTCTGCACGCTGCAGGGTTAAATGCTTTCACTAAAACGTGTCCTACACGACAAACTGTACAATTAAGCGCCAGCCATGATCCTAGCTTCAGAAAACTCTTAGTAGTAGTGCGGGAGCATTTGGAAAGTACAGGATGCCTCCAAACGGACTCACGCCGACCGTGAAATGAGGAGAGAAAAGAGGACAGCAAGAGTAGGAGCCGGCCAGAGCGAGATTTGCGTCATGGAGCCCCCCTGGAGGCCACCCATTCCCTAAAGAGCAGAGGACCGGGCGGCAACTCAGAAACAGCCTCTGGGTCTCAGCACGCGTGCTCAGATGGCATGTTGTAATCATCACCGCTCCGCCAGGCCCATAGGCTCCTGGACACAACTAGCTACACCGTGCGGAGGCGGGCAAGATAAAAAGAAAGCTCCAATTCTCCTGGCGGCCACAGCCTGTTCCTCGGTAGGGGAATGCCTCACGGGGCTCAACCGGATCACATGCCCCCCAACCCCCGACACAATCCCAGCAGATGAGTCTTTCGGGCCCGCGACTCGCGCGCCACCGGCCCAGCCTTGTAAGGCGTGCAACCCTCCTGCCCCTGCACCTTAGTACGTACCTCGCGACGCGGACAATATCATGTCCGGGAACTGCGGAGTGGTAGCAATCTGGGTAACCCATCCGTTGTGGCCCTTGAGGGTACCACGAAGGGTCATTTGCTCAGTCATGGCGGCGACGGGTGCGGGGGTCGCCGCAGCGACGAGGATGGCACCGGATAGCTCAGAGAGACCAGCAACACAGCCGCTCCCGCCGCGTCCCTGCCGAGAAAAAGATCGAGCAGCCCACCGCCGGAACCGGAAATACCCGCCCGCCCGAGCAAAACGGCGGCCCCCATGATTCACTTCTGCTCAAGATGGCGGTGCCATGTAACACAAACAGAGGGTGAAATCGAACGACGTCATGGTCCCCTTCCGCCACGCAAGGTAATTTGACAGCGCCGCACAAATATATTCTGAAACCATCAAGACCAAGTATTTAAAAAGGCTGCTCAAACGTTGATTGGGGTGTGATGTCACAGAAGCGGAAGAATTGAAATGTACGGCACACTCCCCTAAGGATCGCCTGACGGCTTCACTGTCCCTTAAGTGGCACAACGTCAGCCCCGCCCTTTCTGCTTGGTGGCTCAGAGGACAACGAAGAGGGTGCTTAATTTCGAGGTCCCAAATGTGAGTACCTGTGGGCAATTTGGAGAGGAAAAAAACTGTATTAAAGAGACTTACACACTCTCAGGAAACCTTGGTGGGGTAGTGGTTAAGAGCTCGGCTACTAACCAAAGGCCGGCAGTTCGAATCCACAAGGCGCTCCTTGGAAACACTACAGGGCAGTTCTTCTCTGTCCTATAGGGTCGCTGTGAGTCAGAATCGACTCGACGGCAACGAGAGAGATTTCGAGATATACTTTCCAACCGTGCTCAGGTGAACTCGCAAACTGTAACAGATTTTCATGCCAGAAGGCGGCTCAGGGAAGCAGATCGGGATGATCGCAGCCGTTATCATCTGTGCAAAATAAAGGGAGGATTATATTCAAGTATTTGGAGCCGTGGTGGCGTAGTGGTTAAGAGCTCCGCTGCTAACCAAAAGGTCAGCAGTTCAAATCCACGAGCTGCTCCTTGGAAACCCTATGGGGCAGTTCTACTCTGTCCTATAGTGTCGCTATGAGTCGGAACCGACTCGACGGCACACAACAACATACGTATTTACTTTTCTGTTTGTAATATGCTTTAACCTTAATTTCTCACGTGTGAAACGAGATTGGAAATAATAGTACCTATCTCACATGGTGTAATGGAGAGTAAACGAGTCAAGATAGGTAAAGGGTCCAGAACAATGCCTGGTAGAATAAATCTATGTAACTTATTTCGTAAGCATCCCTTGGGTACTGTGTCCTGGTGATACAGCTGCAAACAAACGAGAACGCTGCTTTCTTGGTGCTTACATTCTATGGTGGTGGTGGGTGCTTGAGTGGGAGACTGGAGTAGAGACAGAGGTTAGATGTGGGAGAGGGCCCTGTGGATAGATGGGGGAACAATGTTCCAGTCAGGGAAGGCATATGGGGAAGAATGTTTCATTCGGAAGGAGTTAGTGCAAAGGTCCTGAGCTAGAGTGTCAGAGAAGGAAGACTGGAGGAGCTGAGGACAGAGCAGTAAGATGGACGTGGGGCAGTTGACATAGGGCCTCATGGGCTTAGGGAAGGATCTTGGCAACACGTGCTGGAAGGCTTGCAGAGAGGATGGCAGAAGTTAGGGAGAGACGCAGTGGCAGCCACATGTTGTGAAGGCCAGGACCCATCCCTTGAGGGCGCCAGCCTTCCTCGTCCAGTGAAGATTCCCCTGCCGCCTTCTGCAGCTTCCTTTGGGCACTTGGTGCTATCCTGGCTGTCCTCCCCTACCCTGCAGCCTGATGACTGTCCTCCTAGGGCCCCAGCTGTGGACATCACCAGCCTCCCTGGTACCCCGAAATGGTTGTCCTTTCACTTTTGCAACACTGAACTCTCCCCCAACCCACGTTTTCTTTCTTCTGTGGTCATGGAAGCCCCACGCTTTCACCAACCCCAATATCCAGATCGCTGTCCATGATTTGGGTCACGCCAGCCCCGTAGCTGCTCCTCACAAATGGAGAGGTGAGCGACTCCACTGAGTCTCTGGTGTGCTATTCAAGGGCTTCCCCAATCTGTACATGCAGAAGAAATCCTCTCTGCTCCCCCACTTCCACTCCCCCTGCAAACATCATCAGTTACATTATTACATCCCCTGCCCCCCAAAAAACAAAAACAAAAAAACCTCACTGCTGTTTTTTTTAACTTTGCCCAGGGAGCCCCTGTGGAATCTGCAACCTTGAGGTAGGACTGGGAGTCTGGGTTTAGAATGAGCCCCCCCTCCTCACATGTGCTCAAGGATGGGACATTTCTGCACTACCCAGCCCCTTTCCAGAAGGCTCAGCCTCTCCAGCCCACCTCTCCCACATCCTTCCCTACATCCACACCTCCCTTTTTCCCCCTTCTGGAGACCCAGACTCCCAAAGGTGCCTTCTGCTTCTGCCTGGTTCCCCTCACCCCTTACTCTATGAGATGGTTCTGGCAGCGCCCTCCTATGGAGTCAAGGGAGAAATTCTGGTTTTGCCATGGAGCCCATGGCAATGACAGTTGGAGGAGAAGGAGAAATGGAATATATGGTTCATGTCCCAGACAACCAGACCATGCAGGATTCGGGCTTTCCCTTTGGAGTTTTCCTTACCACCTCTCCTCTTTTAAGAGAAGGGATGCTGGTAGCTCTCAATGGCCACTGAAGGATAATCCTGAGCTGAAGGAGTTGCCCCAACCCTGGGGACCACTTGGGGTGTAATCTGGGGAGAGGACAGGGGTGGAGCAGCTGCTTTTCCAGCTCAGCACCCACCTGGGTTGAGCCCATGCTTGCTTACCAGGTATATGTGCCTGGCCTGGGTTAGGGACCCTACCTAGACTTCTCATTCCTCGAGAAGAATCTGTGGATTTGCAAAGCAGCCCTGGTAACTTGCCTAGTGACTCCAGTCTGGTTCCTTGTGGCAGCGTGATGTCCCTCAGCTCTACAAGTCTGAAAATTCCTCCCACAAGAGGTCTGCACTGCATTCACCAGCATGTTGTGGGCCTTGTCCTTGCCCAGGGAAGGGCTTCTCTCAGTCGGCATTTTTTCTCAACCCCCAAGAGGTAGAAAGCCTGTTGGAGCCCACCCCGCCCCGACTTGAGAGCTCTCTGAATTCAAGAGCCTTCTTCCTGCTCCTTGTCTACCTCCACCCTCCTCCTGGCCCACGGCTCTGTTGGCAGAGCCTTTCTTGCTGGGCCTACTGCTCCTGGCCCTAGTTCAACTTAGTCTTACCCCTCTTCTCTGAGTCTCTTGACTACTCCACTTCTCCCACATCTTGGACCTCACTAGTACCACCTCCATTCCACACAAAGTAAGAATCCCCTTGGAGAGGCTCTTCTAAGGAAGCCCATCTCCACCGTTCCTTTACTGGAGGGAGTCCACAGGATGGACACAGGTGAAAGGAGCCCCTCGTGCCTCCTTGCCAGAGGCCTCCCCCAACCCCCACATCAGTATTTAGGACCATGGCGGGTATGACAGGTCTTCCATTGTGGTAAGGTGGTAGGTCAGGGAAAGGTGTGTGACCAGGAGCAGAAGGCCTGCTTGCTGCCTGCTACAGTTCTGTGGACAGGTGGCTTCCTCTTGTACTTTAAGATAATGACCAAAATCTTTACTGTCACCCTCCAGATCCACTGTGGCTTCCTCTGGAATGCCTCCGTGCTGTGTTTTGTGGCCATGCTGTCCCTCTTCTGCTCTTCCAACTCATCAGTTCTCTCCCACACTGAACTTCTACACACACTGTTCCTCTGCCTGGAAGGCCCACCATATCCCACTCCTTTTCTCTTAATTAAATCTAAGCTTCCTTCCAGTCTCAGCTGGTGTGGCCTCTTCAAGGAAGCCCTGTGTGATGCTCAGGTCTCAGTTAGCTTCGTTTCATGGTTCCTAGTGGTGGTGTAGGGTACGCTGCTTCTTCACAGCACTTAGCTCAATTAGCAGTTATATGAATTCCTCAAGGCTCTCCTATGGGTGCCCTGAGAACAGGGACTGCCTCCTTCTGTTCACTTGCTGCATCCCCAACACCTGGTAGAGTATGTGGCATGTGGAATACTTAACCGTGGTGGCCAGTCTCACAGGCTGAGTAGTAAAGGGCGAGTTGTTAGAGAGGGGAGGGTATTCCAGGGAGAGGAATTGGGAGTAGGGGCCGGAGGGAGTGAAAAACACAAGTGGTTTGTGTGCATAAGTTGGAGGGATGGCTTCAAGAGAAGGAACAAAGGGAGTGTAGCAGAGTAAAACTCTAGCTGGGCAAAAGCTAAACTCATCTAGTTTAGATGGCCTTTGCTGCTAAGGAACCTGGATTTTTGTCCTGAAGCCTAGGACAGTCTATTTAGGATTCTGATCACATCCCTCCTGCCCAGACTTGATCCAGAGGCTAGGTTGGAGGAGTAAAACTAGAAACACGAAGTGTTACGAAGCTACTGCAGTAATAAAGGCAACAAGTAACTCAAGCCAGGAGCTCTAGCAGGCTGTGAGTCCTACTAAATGGCACTATGGGGTAATTGAGCATTTATCAAAGGCCTTATGAATACGGGCTTGAATGTCTCTTCCAAGCCATCTGTCTCCTCCCCATCCCAGCTTCTTCACTCCAATGTCTACAATTGTGCTCTGCATGTAGAAGTTATTTAATGTGCGAGGCTTAAAAAATTAAGCACAAAAATGTTGTAGATAAGGAAACACTGGAGTGTAATTATAGATGCTGTTCCTCTTCCTAGGAGGTGTGGCATTAAATTAATTCCTGTAACAGATCTTACAGAGGTCCCATGTCATTTATGTCGATCTCCTGATGCAGATTCAGTGTCCATCTTACGGAGAAATCTGAGGTCTAACAGCCCTGGTGGCACAGTAGTTAAGCATTCGGCTGCTCACCAAAAGGTTGGCAGTTCGAATCCACCAGCTGCTCCTTGGAGACCCTATGGGGCAGTTCTACTCTGTCCTGTAGGGTCGCTATGAGTTGGAATTGACTCGACAGCAACAGATAACAGCCCCCCAGAAAGTAGATCCTAAGACATTCTGTTGGGTCTTCCTTGGGAGGTGGACTGTGGGAATCCCCAGGCCCTGGGTGTTTTAGCAGGTCAGAGTTAGAGGCCGTGGAACTGGGAGTGGGCCAAGCAGAATGGAAAGAAATGCAGAGGGCAGCACCTGGCCTTCTTGTTAAAAGATTTAAAGCAGCGGTAGGTGGTAGGGAGAAACAAAAGGTGACTCAATCCTTTTTCAGTTTTCTACCAGGGAGAGAATTTCATATGAACTAGGATGGGAGAAATATGCTGAAATGGAAATGGAGGCTGGCTCACTCATTCCAAGAATATGAAGGCTCTCACTTGGTAAAACAGCCAGGGCTGCTGAGAAATCTCATCTTTTGCTGCAGGTGGAAACGGGATTGTGTGTGCCTAGGAAATGGCAAGAAAAAAGGGATGGGCTCTCCAGGGATCCTGTCCATGCCATCTGGATTCCCCTTTATCTTTGTGGGGTCCTGCTTGGTACCAGGTAGAGTGGTCAACCGAAGGGCTCTGACCAACTTTGAATCCAAGTCCTTTAAGATAGGGGAAAAGGCTATGTATGAACCAGCCTCAACAGGGAAATGACTATGGAGGAAGCAACTTCCCTGTTCTTTAACGCTGTTTTTAATTCAAATCCCTGAACTTTCCATTTTCCTTGGGAGGGGAAAAGGTGAGAAGAGGGCCATTTCCTTCCTTCTCTGCAGGTCTCCTGATAACAGGAGCCTAGTCACATCTCCTACACTTCTCATATGTGTGGATGAGCTCAGGTGCTGTACTTCTGAGGACTCTGGTTTGTGGGCAAAGACTGTAAGTAAAGGTAAATTTATCACCATCTTCAGCTCCCATGGCCTGGGGGACTATCTCTTCCTCTTCAGCCCCGTTATTCCTAGAACCTCTCACTACCTCTTCTGACATAACACTGCCAGGACAAACTTTTCTAGGATTCCAAGACCTCCCTGAACCACCCTGTCAGGATCAGCTGTGAAAGGATAAAGGGAAAAGGTTGCTAACATGCTTTAATACTATTTTCTCCTCACATCCCGTTTTTTAAAAAGTCAGGCACCAAGTGAAACCTTAAACTTCTCTCTCTCCTATTTTGAGAATCCGGCCCTAGTTCTTTCCTGATAGGAGTAATGCAGTTTTGTTTTTAATTTCTTTCCATTAGAGTTTTCTCTCATCACACCTCCCACATGGATCAGAAGTAATATTGGCTCAAGACTAATTGGTCAGATTAAAAAAATAAAAGAAGAACATAATAGGGAAAGCCTTACTTATTTTAAGTAGTTTTTCCTTTTATGCCTGAACTTACTACCTTATAGCCTACCTCTCCTTATTGGGAAAGGAAAGTTGCCTTACTTCTTTTTCATTTTCCTTTTAGACTTGCTACTCCTGAGGGTCCTAGGAAGAACCAGAATTCAACTGCCTTCTTTGTGTAGAACTGTGTGGTTCACACATGGATATTAAATACAGTTAAAAATTCAGTTTCTCAGTTGCACTAGACACATTTCAAGAGCTCAACAGTCACATGTAGCAAGTGATGCCCACTATATTGGACAGCACAGGTATGGAAACACTTCCATCATTGCAGAAAGTTCTATTAGATCTGGTATGAAGGGCTAGTGTCCCTGTCTCCCCCTTCTTGTAACCCCATTTTATCAGTCAGTAAATTTCTGTAGTAACTTCAGTATAACAGGATAACTTCAGAGGGGCAAGCGATTGGGGGTGGGAAATAGCACAGAATCTATAGGTCCTGTAGGGGTTTCAGGAGGCATGACTTAGAGGCCAGGGGTTGATGACTAATGACAGATGAGTGTCAGGTATTAAGGAGGTGCTTCAGGGGCTGATGCTACACAGATGAACCCAGGGCCACCCAACTCTGACAAGAGCTGGGAGGATTGGGTGTCTTATCGATTAATCTACTGATACTAGTTGAGGCTCTTCTTCCACTGAACACTCTTGAACACCTATGCCAGGCACTGGCAGTAGAGCCTAAGTGAGGCTGGTAACGTCAAGTGTAGACTAAAACGAAACCCACTGCCGTCGAGTAGATTCTGACTCATGGTAACCGTATAGGACAGAGTAGAACTGCCCTATAGCGTTTCCAAGCCTGTAAATCTTTACAGGAGCAGACTGCCACATATTTCTCCTGCAGAACTGCTGGTGGTTTCAAACCGCCGACTTTTTGGTTGGCAGCTGAGCGCTTTAACTGCTGTGTCACCACTTTTTGGTTGGCAGCTGAGCGCTTTAACTGCTGTGTCACCACGGATCCTTAAGACCAGTGGTTCTCAACTGGAGGTGATTTTGCCCCCATCTCAGGAGATATCTGGCAACGTCTCGAGACATTTTTGGTTGTCACAAGTGGTATGGGGTTTGTGCATGCTACTTGAATCTAGCAGGTTGAGTCCAGGAATGCTGCTAAGCAACCTACAATGCACAGGATAGCCCTATACAACAAAGAATTACCTGGCCCAAAATCTCAATAGTGCTGAGGTTGAGAAACCCTGTTCCGCACCACAACATGGATCAGGTCTTCATGCTAAGACTAACCATGGGTCCAGGCTTGGTAGGATAGGAACTAAGGGTAGGAAGTGTCTGATAAATTGGGAAGGAACAAAATTAGCAGTCAGTGGAACAATGATCTGTATAAAGCTGAAGAGCAGGTATAACTGGAGTGTGTTTAAGTGCACTGGAAGGCTAAGAGCTAAACTAAGAGTGAAACTGGAGTTGAGGATTTCAGATGTGTAGCAAGTCTTTGTGAAGATGAGGTCCAGGGTACAGCCACAGGAGTAGAGAGGAAGAAGTTTAAACAGTCTCTTCAAACTGTTTAATACAGCAGTCAACAGCTGAACCTAGTAGGGAAGACATTCAATAAACAAGGTGAGCATCTGGTGGATATGACTATACCAGTTTTCTCAATGTTTTTGTAACTCACACCCCTACTTTTCATATATCTGAAAATCTTATGTTCTTCCTCCATCAGTGTTTTTTAAAATTTCAAAATGAAGCGTCACGACTAAAATTAATCATAGCAATGGTAATTTTAGAAGGAAAAAATTTATTCAGAGTATGTGATAACTGTGTCACTATTAAGCCTATTTTCTAGCCAGAACTTTTCTTTCCTGGGTGGTATAGAAGATGCAACAAAACACAAGCTGCTTTCAACATTTTTGCATTGTTTTCTCCCCATAGCTATATATATATAAAGCTTTTAAGATGTGTGGAGAAAATGCAATAAAGCCTTCTTGTTTGTTTAGACGTTTTACACCAAATTTCTCTAGAATATTCATATGGAAGTTTCTTGTCAACACAATCAAACTCGAGTGCCACCAACTCCTCTTGAAGCTCTTTCAGTGAGGACTAAACACCAGTGTGAAACACATTCTTCCCAAAAGCTATCTCAGGTAGGTTTTAACAGGAACACATCATCCAAAATAATTCTGAATATTTCACTTTTTTCCTTGAAATAATATTTGTGAATCTAGTCCTTGAAAGATTGGCCAACTTAAGAAAATTAGACATTTTTAGCACCAGTATCCTATACCTATAGCTAGATTTTTGGCAAGTTTTGCTTGAAGTGTTTCATAACAAGCAGTGATGTTGGTACTTGCACCTTGACATTTCAGGGACAATTTATTTTAAGCTTCAATGTGCTAAACTCAGCTGAAATTGGAAGTTTAAAGTATAGGTAATTTTTCACTAGTGTTCCAAAATCAAGGTTGTTCTGTTCATAAATTCAGTTGAATATAGTTCTCTTTGACAACTGAGAAACATCAGTATCTAACATAAAATGCTTGAATGGCATTCAGATCTTTAGAAGGCAAAGGCAAACAAAGTGGGGTCGAAAGCACTGTTTTTCACAATGGTCTATGCGGATAGCAAGGTTGAAGATTTCCAGTAGACTATGGGCAGGGTTTTGGAAGTCGATGTGTGGTAGTGATTGCTGAAGTAAATCCTGAACACCAGTTTTCTTCAGTTTTTGCCCAAAACCCCAAGATCTAAAACCACATTGCTGTAGCACCATCAACATATATGCCTGTATTTTTTCCTCCAGCTCAGTTCATTTAATACAGCTCCAAAAATAGTGTCTTAATGGTTACAAGTACCAGGCGTGTGAAAATATCACATCCACTGTTTTTAAAGCCTTATTTTGACCATAAGCAAAGCATAGTTTTCTTCATCAGTAGATTCAGTATATAGCAAAGAAGGATGAGCTGATGTTTTTTAAAACCTGAAGTTTAGTATATTCAGTCATCAATTCAGATTTAAGACTAAAGAAGCAGATGAAAAAATTCGGGAATTCCTCAGTTTCCTCTCAGAGTTGTGGCAGCACTTGGAATACAAGGTTTCACAAGTTTCTCCATTATTGTCTCCTTTCTAATTAAAAGGGCTATTTAATATTAAGCTTTCATGGCCTTTGAAGATTCCTGTTAATCCAGTACTGTCCAGTCTTAAAAGCTGCATAGAATTATGCTTTGCAGAACACTCTGCTTTTTTTTAATGGCGTGGTATCACTGCCCAACACTTTCCGGTAGCTCAACTGAAGAAGTTGACCCTATCTTCTACATCATAATGTGAATACATAGTTGATAAAACCTCAAAATTTTTGGCTGCCATCTTTAGCTACCTCAATGGAGAAAACTGAAAAACAAGGAGTACAGATGATGGAAGCATCTAGTTCCTCTTTGCAGTGATGAATGATTTCATTGGCAGCAGCTGGGTGGCAGGGCAGTACAGGGATTCAATTATGCTGGAGCCCCAGTAAGTGAAATATTGATTTCTTTTCTTTTTATACACCTGTCTGCTGCCCAGAACATGACACCATTTAATGGTATCCTAGGTCAAATCTAAATGATCTAATTTTCTAGCTTGCAGAGTCAAGATGAACTCATGGGATGGACAAAAGGGAAGATGTATATAAGTAAGCTTTTCAGGGCTGAAAAGCCTCTTCTTATACAAAATCAAATTTTAAAAGAACATTGACCTCTAAACAGTACAATTGTACTGGATATATTAAAGAAATAGTCTAAATCACACCATATTCACAATGAACATCTTCTGTGGCAATCCAACCTTTCATATACCCCATTTGTTATAGGCCTTGCTCTGAATGTTTTCTTGCTCTATCTTCTTTGTATTCCCACCAGCCAAGGAGTTCTTTCCAACTTTACTTCCTATATTATGAAAAATTAAGTATTTTTTATCTTAAAAAAATTACAACACGGAATTATGATTTTATAAACTATAACCCTCCCCACACCCTGCAATGCTGACATAATTTGTGGTGGGAGTGGGAAAGAATACTTTTCTCCTATTCAGTTCCTGAAAATCATGACCTAATCCTTAAGTCTATAACAAACTCCCTACTCATGCTCCCTAAAACTCAAAAGCTTCATCACCTCCAAAGTAGATAAAAAATTGTGCTGAATTAGTAGCTAGAGAGAATTCACTGCAACCAGAACTGTGTGATGGAATAATGTTTACTATAACATATTAAATAGACAATCATATAAAAATTGTTCCATGTAATGTTAACTATTATTATCAGTATTCAGGAAAATTCTATTTCATGCTACTATAATGTGTATGTTTACCAGTGAAAGGAAGGACAAAATATGAACTGTATAAAGAATGAAAGAATATGTCAAGTCCTTAAAGGAATATCAGTTTACACATAACTTACAAAAAATACAAATTTTTACCTCTTCAAAGTGATTTCTATTATTTGGCAACACCATCTACCTAGTTCTGGTATACGTTTGAAAATAAAAGTGCACTTTTAAATATTCTATATTTCAGAAAGGGATACCCCAATTTGTTTAACTTGGTTTTACTATTTACATTTACCGCTTGTTCTCTGTAACTTCTCAGGTTTCAAATGAGTGTTAGCTGGCCTCCACAGCTGAAGAGACCATCTCTTTTATCTACATTGGCTTTCAATTAAAATTTCAGTTTCAGAATTGCTTCCAGAAAATTCTATCAGAAGAATGGAAGGTTTTCTCCCTTCCTTAGCTTTGGTGTACTAAAAACCAGAAGCCTAAGACACAATTTCTTCCCTAGGCAAATTTACTTATTACGTTAAAGGAAAGGGAGGTGCTAGGGTTTGCTAGAGATAGCAGTGATTTGTAGTTAGATTTTGTGTCTTAATTGTGCCATTTACCAATAGTTACTTTAAAATGGGTGGTGGTCATTACACCTAATATATGATTCCTGTAGGACAGTGTTCTGTGTTACTGTTTTGACTACAACCCAGAATAAGAAATACATTTTACTTTGACTCCACACTTGTATATACATACATATATGTAACTTAAAACTTTCACAAAACAATATATTTACCCTTACTATAATCCATCTCTTCTATTCCATTTTAAAATAATGCTGGGCATGACCACTTAATTTAAGACCCATTAATTGGTCAAAACCCACAGTTTGAAAACCACTGTTGTAGGAGAACACAAGGAAATACATTTTATAAACTGTATAGCACTACAGAGATATGAGTAGCTGCTACTGAATATCCAAGTTAAAACTTTTATAGGCCTGAAGAGAACTTCTCCTTCCTTGCATATTGCTAGGGGTCAAATCTGCCCAGATTTGTAGTAAGGAAGATAGTCTTCATGCTGACTGTCATTGAGACAAAATTCTCTAATGCTCAGATCAGGACTGGAAGATGAGATAATAATCATATCAGAATCCAAAGGATGGAAGACATGTTTAGTAGAAAGTCAAGTAAAAAAGCAAACATTAGTTTAGTGCTTTATAGTCTATAAAATTACTTCACATATGTGATCACTTTAAATCCTAATCCTAGGGAAAAAGTGAAGCTCAAAGAAGTGAGACCTGCCCATGATTAGATAGTAAGTGGCAGAGCCAGGTCATCTGATACTAAATCTCTCACTCCTTTTACTATGATAAATAACAGGAAAGGAACCTGATCAGGACAGTAGGATAGTACTGATCCATCTGAGATGCTTATGTCCTTTGCCTTTCTCTAGAGTCGAAATGGACCTTACTGAAGGTAGGGAACTAACCCCTGACTTTGGGGTGGTGGGGCATGACCAGTTGCTTTTACTATTCCAGGACCCACACCTGGCATTTTGGTCCACCAATATACTAGGACTCTGTTACTTACACCTTATAATTAGACAGGCTGAAAGAGTAACATTGTCTGCTTCCTGTGACCTGGCTCCATGTCTTTGCTCAGCTTCATCTGGGAGAGCCAACTGCACCAGCATTCATGGCTTTGTGTGTCCTTTGTCCACAAACGCCCCATCTTCCTCCTGCCCTCCCCCCCTCCCCAAGAAAAAGACGTTCAACTAGCAAACACCTGAGATATTCACTTAAAAAGGGATAGGAAGAACATGGTACCATCTCCCAGCTCCCCTTGCTTACTCTCCACTCCCTCCTACCCACCTCCCCCAATACTCCCTCCTAATTCCTCTCACCTTGTACTCCAGCACCACCTCTTCCAATGGCACCACGCTGTGCTGTTTGTGGCTCCTGGATTCTCGGCACACTACACAGATAGCCTCTTTGTCCACCTCACAGAAGAGTTTCAGGGCTTCCTGGTGTTTGGAGCAGGTGCCCTGATCGTTTCCCTGGCTCCCTCGGTAAGGCGTGGGGCACATCTGGCGAATTATCTGGACCATGTTAGCCAGCTGCAAGTTGGGACGAAAATTACGACGTGTAAAGTTCTTCCGGCACTGGGGGCAGGTGAACTGTCGCTGAGGGGTTGAGGGAAGAGGCAGATGGGTGTCAGGATACAGCTCTTCGTCGTCATCGTATTCTTCCAATCGCTCTTGTTCTTCTGGGTAGACGTCAATTCTCAGGTCATGTCTCAAGCCTTCTAGGTAATAGTCTCGATCTTCCTCATCTTCTTCCTGGTCCCACACACAGTTCATATTGTCCCAATTCCTTACGCCACCGTCACCAACCCAGGGTTCATCTTCTTGGTCCTGGAAGTCTTCGTTAGCATTCCCCCGATACAAAACCTCCCGAATGGAGTTGTCCCATCCACCAGTGGCCCCCACTGCCTCGTCCTCCTCTTCTTCCTCCCATTCATCTTCCTCCTTGTCCCTGTCCTCATCCTCCCCGCCCCACAGCTGGGTCACACACCCTCGGCAGAAATTGTGCCCACAGCCGATAGATACGGGATCCTTGAAGTAATCCAGGCAGATGGCACACACCGCTTCTTCCTGAAGTGTCTGCATGGGGTTGGTAGTGGCACAGCCAGCCATCTTATTGCGTTGCCGGCCTATGTAAACGCGTCAGCTGGGAGATGAGGAGCCGGGACGCGCCTGCAGATCGGCCTGCTGGGCACACTGGTGACGTGAGGCTGTCCCTGATCCTGTTCTTCCCCTCAGGCCCCTCTCAAGCAAAGGCCCTGGATCCGGAACCCCGAGAGGGGAGGGGGCAGAACCATGCGGCGTCCCCTACTCCCCTTCGAAGCTCAGCGTGCAAATCCCGATCTCTATCTCTCCTTTGACTACCCTGCCGCGTCCTCCTCATAAATCGAAGCCCCTTACCCAGCCCGAGGCGACCGGAAATGACAAGGTGCTCTAGCCCAAACTCGGGAGGGGATGGTCTGGGCCGGCGGAGGACCACATCTCTATGGTGCCGCAGGAGACAAGGCTGCCGGGAGCACCTGCCGCCAGCCCAGCCTCCCCAAGTAGGAAAAGATTGGTGGGAAGGGGTGGAGACGAGAAAGAATCAATTAAGCCATTCTCTTACGTCCTGTAATCAGCCAGACACAGAGGGTCCGGACGGCCGCCCAGCCGAGCGGGTGGCCGGAAACGGACTGGGAACGATGGGGAAGACGCTGGCTAAGCTCTGGAGCTCTCACGCACTTCTGGCTCTTCTAGGCACAGGACTAGGCCGGAGCAAGGGGACTTAGCCGGCAGTCGACTTTGGGGGCGTGGCCCCCAGGAAAGGGGTTGGACCTGCAGAAATGGGGCGGTGTGGGGCTCCTGCTGGGACGCGGTATGGCTGTGATGTGAAAGGTTCTCGCGTGTCTCCAATTTTCCTCCTCAAACCAGTTCATCCCTTTCTATCTGCAGAGCCTCAGTCTCTTGACCCTGACCTCTCCTGCAATCTTAACTTCCTGTGCCCATCTCCACTATCAGGCAACCACTCAAACACCTCAAACTCAACATGCCCAAACCGACTTCTGTAGATCTTTTCACCTTCATGCATCTATAATCCTCCTACCCATCACTAAACTACCCATTCATTTTTAATCCATCCATCCTATACATGCACAACTCATACATCCATTTATCTATCCACTTCATTTTTACATGTATGTTGTTAGGTGCCTTCGAGTCGGTTCTGACTCATAGCAACCCTATGCACAACAGAAGAAACACTGCTCGGTCACGCGCCATGCTCACAGTCGTTGCTATGTTTGAGCCCATTGTTGCAGCCACTGTGTCAATACATCTGTTTGAGGGGCTTCCCCTTTTTCATTGCCCCTCTACTTTGCCAAGCATGATGTCCTTCTCCAGGGACTGGTTTCTCCTGATAACATGTCCAAAGTACATGAGACAAGTATCTCCATCCTTGCTTTAAAGGAGAGTTCTGGCTGTACTTATTCCAACACAGATTTGTTCGTTCTTCTGGCAGTCCATGATATATTCAGTATTCTTGGCCAACACCATAATTCAAAGTCATCAATTCTTCTTCTGTCTTATTCATTGTTCAGCTTTTGCATGTATATGAGGTGATTGAAAATACAATGGCTTAGGTCAGGCACACCTTAGTCCTCGAAGTGACATCTTTACTTTTTAATACTTTAAAGAGATCTTTTGCAGATTTGCCCAATGCAATACATCATTTGATTTCTTGGCTGCTGCTTCCAAGGGCACTGGTCGTGGACCCAAGTAAAATGAAATCCTTAACAACTTCAATATTTTCTCCCTTTATCATGATGTTGCTTCTTGGTCCAGTTGTGAGGATTTTTGTTTTCTTCATGTTAAGGTTTAATCCATACTGAAGGCTGTAGTCTTTAATCTTCATCAGTAAATGCTTCAAACCCTCTTCACTTTCAGCAAGCAAGGTGTGTCATCTGCGTATCACAGGTTAATTGGTCTGTCTCCAATCTTTATGCTGCTTTTTTCATATAGTCCAGCTTCTTGGATTATTTGCTGTGCATGCAGATTGAATAAGTATGGTGAAAGAATACAACCCTGATGTACATGCAGTATCTCCTTGTTCTATTTGAATGACTGCCTCTTGGTCTATGTACAGTTTCCGCATGCACACAATTAACTGTTCTGGAATTCCCATTCTTCACATTGTCACCCATAATTTGTTATGATCCACCCAGTCAAATGCCATTGCATAGTCAATAAAACACAGGTAAACATCTTTCTGGTATTCTCTGCTTCAGCCAAGATCCATCTGACATCAGTAATGATATCTTTCGTTCCATGTCCTCATCTGAATCTGGCTTGAATTTCTGGTAGTTCCCTGCCAATGTACTGTTGCAACCACTTTTGAATTATCTTCAGCAAAATTTTACTTGCATGCGATATTAATGATACTGTTCGATAATTTCTGCATTCTGTTGGACCACCTTTCTTTGGAATGGGCATAAATATGGATCTCTTCCAGTCGGTTGGCCAGGTAGCTGTCTTCCAAATTTCTTGGCATAGACGAATGAGTGCTTTCAGCATTGCATTCATTTTTTGAAACACCTCAATTGGAATTCTGTCAATTCCTGGAGCCTTGTTGTTTGCCAATGCCTTCAGTGCAGCTTGGACTTCTTCCTTCAGTACCATCGGCTCTTGATCATATGCTACCTCCTGAAACAGTTGAACATCAACCAACTCTTTTGAGTATAGTGACTCTGTATGTTTCTTCCATCTTCTTTTTTTAAAATTTTTTTTATTGTACTTTAGGTGAAGGTTTACAGAACAAATAGTTTCTCACTAAACAGTCAGTACACATTGTTTTAACACTGGTTAACAACCCCACGACATGTCAACACTCTCCCTTTGTTTTTTTTTTTGGTGAAAATATACATAGCCAAAGATACACCATTTGAAAAATTTCTACATGCACAGTTCAGTGACATCGATTATGTTCTTCCAGTTGTGCTGTTATTCTCACTTTAGATGAACGTTTACAGAACAAAATAGTTTCTCATTAAACAGATAGTACATATGTTGCCCTATAACAATGGTTAACAACCCCACTACCTGTCAACACTGTCCTTACTCAACCTTGGGTTCCCTATCACCAGCTTTCCTGTCCCCTTCTGCCTTCTAGTCCTTGTCCCTGGACTGCTGTGCCTCATTAGTCCCATTTTGTTTTATGGGGCTGTCCAATCCCCGGCTGAACGGTGAACCTCTGAAGTGACTTCACCACTGAGCTAAAAGGGTGTCTGGGGGCCATACTCTCGGGGTTTCTCCAGTCTCTGTCACCCCAGTAAATCTGGTCTTTTTTTGTGTGTGTTAGAAGTTTGTTCTACATCCTTCTCCAGCTCTGTCCAGAACCCTCTGTTGTGATCCCCGTCAAAGCATCAGTGATGGTAGCCAGGCACCACCTACCTGTACTGGACTGAGTCTGGTGGAGGCCTTGGTAGCTGTGGTCCATTAGTCGGACTAATCTTTTCCTTGTATCCTGTTCTCTTCATTCTCCCTTGCTCCTGAAGGTGTGAAACCAGTGCAGTATCTTAGACGGCTGCTCACAGGCTTTTAAGACCCCAGATGCTACTCACCAAGGTAGAATGTAGAACATTATCTTTATAAACTGTGTTATGCCAATTGAGCTAGATGTTCCCCAAGACCATGGTCCCCAAAGCCCTCTGCCCAGCAATTCAGTCCCTCAGGGAGTTTGGATGTGTCTATGGAGATTTCATGACCGTTCCCAGCTTCCCCAGTATTTGTACTGTCTCACCCTTCACCCAAGATACCACTTATCTATTGTCTATTTAGTATTTCCCCCCACCTTTCCCATCCCCCATAACCAGTAAAGATTGTTACTTTTTGTGTGCAAACTTTTTCATGAGTTTTTACAATAGAGGTCTCATACAATATATGTCCTTTTCTGATTGTTTTGGTTCACTCAGCATAATGTCCTCCAGTTTCATCCATGTTATGAGATGCTTCACAGATTCACCATTGTTCTTTATCGTTGAGTAGTACTCCATTGTGTGTATGTAAGATAGTTTGTTTATCCATTCATCTGTTGATGGGCATCCAGGTTGTTTCCATCTTTTTTCTACTGTGAACAATGCTGCCATGAACATGGGTGTGCATATGTCTCTTCGTGTGACAGCTCTTATTTCTCTAGGATATGGTCCTAGGAGTCTTCCATCTTCTTTTGATGCTTCCTGTGTCATTCAATTTTTTGCTCATAGAATCCTTCAATGTTGCAACTTGAGGCTTGAATTTTCTCTTCAGTTCTTTTAGCTTGAGAAATGCCGAGCGTGTCCTTCCCTTTTAGTTTTCTAACTCCAGTTCTTTGCTCATCTTCTGGTACTATATCACACAATGTTCCACTGCTATTCATAAGGTTTTTCAATGACCAATTTTTTTTCAGAAGTAGATCACCAGGTCCTCCTTCCTAGTCTGTCTTAGTCTGCAAGCTCTGCTGAAACCTGTCCACCATGGGTCACCCTGTTGGTATTTGAAATACTGGTGGCATAGCTTCCAGTATCACAGCAACACACAAGCCACCACAGTACAACAAACTGACCATGTATAAAACCAAAAATCCATTGCCGTCGAGTCAATTCCCACTCATAGCAACCCAACAGGACAGAGCAGAACTGCCCTATAGGGTTTCCAAGGAGTGGCTGGTGGATTCGAACTGCCGACCTTTTGGTTAGCAGCCGAGGTCTCAACTACTGTGCCACTAGAACTCCATATTCCATGTATAGGAACACAAAACTTAGTAAGGCACGACCAGTCCCTTTAAGGAATACAAGTTACAGGTGTGTGGTCATTCTTCACCCAAGGTTTTCTTTTTCTTTTTTTACTTGACCTTCAGTAAGAAGTACATCAGACACATTAATCCAATACAGACCTGCACATGTGTAAATGTCCATAAAATTTTTGGAAACCATTCTTTTTGTTATGGCATTCGAGCCACCCTGATATTTTTTTAAATTCTATTTTATTTTAGTAAAATGCTGTTCAAGACCCACTGAAGTGATCACACCACTCACTAATTGGTCACTGTTCAGTTTGAGTAGAACCACGTGTCCTAATGGAACCTTCAGTGCACCCTGGAGGCTTTCCTCTCCCTCTTTGGACCTGAGCCATTGAACTTAAGCTCCACAGAGCAAGGATGATGTATGTGTTGTTCAACATTATACACCTAGTTCCTCTGTCATAGTGGTGAGCACACAGCAAGCACTCAATACACATCTACTGAATAAATAAATGAATAAACAAACCCAACGAATTCCAACCATCAAGTCCTAGATCAAAACCCATCAGCTTCGCACCACGAAGTTCATGTTCTGCATCCTAGTGAGATGAGTAGCATCTGGTAAAAGGTATAAGCTGTGAGTGGCCATCTAAGATACAACTATCGGTCTCTACTTTTTGGGAGAAAATGAGACAAAAACCAAAATCTCAGAGAAGAAACTAGTCTACAGCGTTAGCTAATAGCCTACACAAGCCACAGCCTTACCTACCCTGAGACCAGAAGAACTATATAGTGCCTGGCTACCACTACCAACCATTCTGATCAGAGCCACAGTAGATGGACCCAGATAAAATGGGAGAAAAACTCAGAACAGAACTCAAATTCTTACAAAGTTCAGGCTTACTGGACCAGTTGAGACCACAGAACTCCCTGAGACTAGTGCCCTGAGATACTCTTTAAACCTTGAAACGAATCTATCCCCTGAGGTCACATAACAGATTGGCACACAAAACAAAGGATAGCTGTGAGTATGGGGCTCCATTAAAAAACCATCTATACAAGAC